CGGGGAGCACCGGTTCACCCATCCGAATCGGCTCCGAAAATGAATCGGACCGGGGACGCCCATATCTGGAAATCGACATCGACATCGAACGTACCTGCCGCCAACTCGAGAACTGGGGGGACCAATCCGGTCTCGCCATTTATTTCTAATCTGCTGCAGCCGAATCTCAACCGAATCATAAAACCCCTAGGTTAGTTAACATATTATCTTATTATCTCTACCCCCTGAAAGAAAACAAAAAAAATTGTGAGAGAGGGAAAACCCGACGTCGCACAAGATTTTGCATCTCCGGAAAGGTCTGCGCCCGCGCCACAAGAACCGCTTCCTGCTGCTGCCGCTGCTACTGCAGCTGCTGCATTGCGTTTTTCACATATGATATCTATGTAATCAACGTTACATCTAAAACATTGATACATGGCGAATAATACACGTATACGGCAATTGGCCAACCAAGCGAATGTACGTGCGTACGCGCACCGCTGGCAGTCGGACTCGAAAATTAATGGCCGGGTCTTGGCATTTTCCTTTGAAAACAACACCATATATTATATGCAAACAAAAAGCATTGTAATGCGAAATAAAAAATTGAAAAAAAATATTTACAGGTTATTTAGCTATTTTAACTGTCCTTCGTACTTTTTGTAATTTTTATCCTTTAAAACTGGTCAAATTATATATGTTAATATTAAGTGTTCAAATGCCAAGACCCGGCCATTAATTTTCGAGGCAGGCTGCGCTGGTAGGTATTTGAATTTACTTTTTTTTTTTTTTTCCTTCTTTTTCTTTTTTTCTTCGGAAGTAGTTTCCGTCTAACATTTGTGGGCCGGACGGACCCTGGGAGGGATGCGGATTACGGAGCGTCGAGGATATATAATATATATATATACCTACATATATATAAGAGGTACCTAATTTAGGTATGCGCATCATGACACAGCGTCGCTCGCTACCAAAGCCACCATACGTCTCGTGTAGCCACATGGGATAACAGCGTGACATCTAAGGGATTCGGATAGAATGCCCTATTAAGCTGAGGCTCGGAAGCCTGCATGCATATTGAAGGTCTTGAATAAATTGATGGCTAAGGCTAGTGGAATCTTTCCTTGGGTTAAGCTCTGGCTATCTACATAGATATGCATGTTGCCACTTTCTTTTGGTGGCATGTTATATGCCGATGGTGGAGCGTGCACCTTTCGGTATATAGAATTAGACTTAGATATGAAATTCCTATAGGTACTACGATACTCACGCAGAAGCCATAAGCTGCATGTAGTTACCTAGCTTGGTATACGAAACATGATTATTATATCTTCTAGTTTCCTCTGAGTGCTCACAGCCAATAATCAAGGGTCAGTGGTTTGAGCGATCAATTGTTTTATTAATTGTTAGTGTTACCTATAGATAAATGCTCCCTAGTATAGACATAAGGCCTTTCGGGGCAGTGGCTTGATCATTCGAAGGCTTACTCTTCATAGTTGAAGGGACTATCTTTTACTATCTTGAACCAGCCAGACGACCATCCCCCCTTTAAGCTAACCCTTAAGTCAGCTTCCTCGTAGACTATGTAGTACTTTCCCAAGACCACCAAACACTGGCACCACCAAATTTGCATTTGCTGGCTCGCATTTTAAGGCGCATCTATTCTTTCAAATTTCCAATAGGTAGCTTTGTTTTGATAAAGTTTTAACATGTTCCAAAGGTTGCGTTAGACAAGCCAGTAGCCGCACCACAGTTGTAGCTTTAAGTGACATGTGAGGCTTATAAGATCCACGGAGGGTGAAGCAGACCAGCAGACCTGGCTTCGACAACCTTTAGTGGCTTGATGTTGGTAGTCCATAATTTAGTGCTTGGCTAAGGTATGTGTAGTTTGGCGGTATCGTTTCTCGAATCGTCACTCTGGTCGGTGCTAGGATTGTTGCTGGTGTCGTTTACCAGGATTCCGTAACCAGCAATAAAAGTTTAAGTTCTAGGTTTCCATCCTTCCCTGTCCGCTCAACATCCTGGGAATCTATCTGCTCTAGAGCTCCCTTCCCAAATGGTAGGCGTAGATGGCCCAATAATCAACATCTTGACAAAGACTTGATCGAGACAAGAATAACTGACAGTCCTACTTGTGCAAGAATTCCGAATAGCCCCGTTAATGTCGTTATGCCATTCATTAGTAATTATGTAGGTAGTTTAGGGGGCTTATCGATTCCATCTTGTCACACCATGACGGCACACAACCATGCCATCTTTGTGTCATAGGTCCTCTTTGTGATGGTTTCAGTATTAGTGTTGTTAAATATTGCACCTAGTTTAGCTTATACCAGATTTGGCGTGACAAGATCGAGCAAAACCATGCAATGTCGACGTCGACGGTTGAGGACAAGGCACGGCCAACTCACTAATTGAAGCTGCTCTAGAATAGAAAATTCGGTCATCGGTTCGTATGTTTGCTGTCGATGTGCCATAGCAAACTAATGACCGTAGGGGTGAGTTGTTGAGGAGGTCCTCAGGTATCTCGGGCCTCAATGTTCTCTTCTTCGTCACCAAGCCAGGGTCCCCAGATAAAAAGGCTATAAGGGTCACCTCAAGTCAAGGGTCGTGTGTTACGCATCGGCTTCCTCTGGAGGAAGCTGACTGCATAGGGCAGAAGTCTGCAAACGGTGGCCGAATTATGTCAAACTAATCAGGTGAGTTAATGACGATTTCGGGAATAGTAGGGGATTGGGTCGTTGTGGTGGTAGCCACGGAACTAGTAGTCTCAAGCTAAAACTTACTTCGAACAGGATCTCTCCATCAGTAGGACCGATGAGATAGTACCCATCATGTTTCTTTATCGTATTTATGACCACATCCTTGATAAGATATAGTATTAGTTAACGTGTCTCCCATAGTCAATAAATAAAAGGACCATATTATATACCATGGATGTACCGCCGGGTGATGTATCTAGAATGTAGGTCATTGCAGATTGTCTCCTCAAAGTCCAATTGACGGACTTTACAATTTTGACCGTATGGAGAAGTTATTTCTCTAGTGGATAGTTGAAATTGCATATAAGTTGTGTTCTTGTTTTTTTTCAGATTCATTGTCTACAATCACTTGTCAGTATGATTGTTAGAGTGATAAAGTTGAACGAGAAATTATTGAAATACAAGGAGGAAAAGGGTACCATTAAAGAAGGAATGCGTTATGTTACTTACTAGACTTTGAGGATAAATTGTGTTGAGCAGTTATTAGAGCAGTTTGCGCTAAGTGGGATATAGGACCTATTTCAATAAATGTCAGCGCCTAGATTAATAACAAAGACAACTCAGAGAGTAAACTGAATGGGAGTAATAGATTACAACAATAGGGATTGAAGTGATTAACATGAATCACTACAAAGGAGAAGTGAATAGAAAGTAGGGAAGCTCCGGTGGTATAAGGGAAGAGAAGTAGTGGGTGATAAAATGTAAAATGTATTGACAAAATATGGTGGTGTAACAGAAGAGGTAGGTCAATAACACTGGGGTATAGAGATGAAATGAGATGTATGATTCTGGATGACTGACAATTCGAAAACGTTGAAGGGGGTGTACTTGCTGATATGATAAAAGTATCTGGAGGACTTACTAACAATTGAGACGCGTCTAAACAATATCTCGAGACTCGAGGATATTGTAGACGGTACAGCCTATCACTTATGTAGTCATATGGGCATATATTGGTAGAATGCAAAAGGTTCAGTGCTGGTAATTAAAATAATATGCGACAGTTGTTTGGTATTCTCGAATACGCCAAGACTCTCCAAGGCTTAACCAGACTTTGACGCGTTTCTCATGTTGTAGTAAATAAAAATGGTGCAAAGACTTGTGTTGATTATATGTTATTAGACAAATAGGGGTTAAAGAGGTATCTGGGAGTTTAGAATGTTTGAGTTGTAAAGAAAGAGTGTGTGAAGAAAAGGAGAAAGTGGGCGACGTAGCTGTTGTTAAATACACAATCGTAGGCGGTGTGAATAAAACCCTAAGGCGGCGAAAAGAAAAACCTGGCAGATGGTTAGGCGACCGACAACTAATTACACGACAGTAACATGGACTAACTCTACCGGGCAACAACAACGAAAGGGATTGCGCCTACCGTCCTACGCTACAGTGCATGAATGTATTCCTTAGGAGACACGCACTACACCAGGTATGTATCTTGAGTACATAGACCAAAGGTTGTTGATACAGTCGCTATTACCACTTCTAACCTCGTTTTACGGCATCCTTACAGTGTTCACCAATAGATTGTACCGATGTCACAGGTCTGTGACTTCCTCATTACAGTGGTTTGGATTTATCCTAACATTAATGATACATACCTATGTAGCAACAGGGTCACTTCCCACATTAAGTGACATTTGAAGTAGCACTTCAGTTTCAGGTACACATAATAGGTAGCGCACAATCTCAGACGTCAAGAAGGAAGGTGGCCTTGCTAATTGCTTTCGCCCGGGACCCTGCTTTCTACAGGTACATCAAGAACCTCGAACCAAGAAAGATCTGGATTGTAAGGTACCTAAATTTAGGGGTAGTTATAATCATTCTTAGCGGTTGAATAAATTTCAAATATTCTTCTAGCAAGCTTAGGTAGTTTTTTCGTTAATACACCAAAGAACTAAGATAGTATTAGGTCATTGTGCTATGAAATACATCTAAGGTAGCTAAGTCAAGATCTAAGGACAAAAACATCTTTCCATATTACAGACCATAATAAGAGCAGAGCGAATACTTTTTTTATCTCCTATCACAATGCTCGACCATATGTAATGACTAGAAGAGGCCAGCATACCTTTGGCCTATATTTATAATACCTGTATCGAACCTAGCTATTTTATAGAAATTATAATAACCTATTCCTACGTTTATCTCGTGGGGGTCTATGAGGATTCTAGCCGAGGCACATTGAATAAAAATATATTTTCAATATACGTATCTAGTTACTCTCTCCCGCGGTTGGGTTAGAGTTCCCTGAGAATCAAAGAAGCTGTTTCCATGTCTTCTATGTCTACCTCGTGATAAGGTCTAGTACTTGTACATATATGTGATTGTGCCTATAGAATGCAGCTCCATGAAGCTAAGGTTGAGCAAGACTAGAAACTGCCCTTAGTATCTATCTTCTCAATATTGATGTTTCCCGTATATATCATGCCCCAAGTCTTAACTCCTCCCGTAACTATCTCACCCACCTCACGGAAGCCGAAATGGGCGTAGATATCACGAGCCCGTTCGCTGCCAGCCTCTAGCCACACAGGCATGGCGCCGCCTTCGTTTTGGTCTGAAGTGAATCTCTCCATGAAGGGGACCAGCACCGCCCGAACTAGGATAACGAAAGTTAGTAGTTTATTCGGACAAAACAAGGCCCTATCGGCTGGGTCAAAATGAGAGGTCTGATAAATAGGCTAGGAAGTAGGTACTGAGTAGCGCCTGGCATCTAGCTAGTTCTCATCTATGTTGCAATTGGTGGATGATAGGCTGTGACTTGTGCGAAGCGTGCGGGCATAGCCCTTATGTGCTGCATTACAGAGCTAGCAGCATAGGCTTACTTCCGTATATTTTACAGTCAGTACCTAGGCACCGCAATTCACGAAATAGTAATAATCAGAGAGAATGGTACCTAGTTTAAAATATAAATAGCCTCCAAAAAAGACCAAGGAACAGGCCCAGCCTCTAGATCATATCGTATCAACCGCAAAAGGGGTAAGGGGGTATACTAGTAGAGGTCACTTACCAGCGCCTGGTACATACTCCACCGCCGGATCCCTCGCCATAAGGCTTAACTTCCAATATCGGCCAGCACTCACACGCTCCGCAATAGGATATAAATGCTCACGCATCAGCTCCGCAACTCCATCCAAAAACGCCTTAAATAGCGGTCTTTCCCCCGACGCTGCTGCCGCCGTCGACACATCTACGTAGTGAGGGTCGCCCGCTCGCGCCGGCTCCCAGCACGCTACTGCTGCAAAGCCACCAGCTTCTACTACAAACCCGCCCACAGCCAGCTTTGTCGTAAGCCATGTGATAGCTGAATCGTATACGATGCGCTGCATGGCGGCGAGATCGACATCCTTAGTTGTCTGGCCTGGATGTAGTTTCTCCCCTTGGAACATGACTATTAGGGGGTCTGTAGCCGAGGCCCGCGATGCGGCGCTTGCAAGACCTTGGATGTATCGCTCGGACGTGCCTGTGGTTACCTCCGGGAGCACCGCCGGCTTGCTCGGCTCCTGTACGGTAGTAGGTGGTGTGCTTGGCAATTCCGTAGGAAACAGTGCCGTTTCTGTTGTTATTGGGGTGTCGGCCATTGTTATTGTCAAGAGACTATTGAAAATGGTGAAAACTGAAAGAGAAATCGTAATAACTATTTGACCTTGGCTCTTTGATATATATAAATATTTAGTATATAAAGATTTAGTTAGTAGTTCTTAATCTTTAGAAAGGATGTTCAGGGGTATTTGACTTTGAGTCACACCCCATACCGACCTCGGAAACAAGATTCCTTCCATGCTCATAAGTGTAGCACTCCATACTTGTTGTAATATAACAAACAAATCGCAAAAGATTACCACCGCACCTTAAGTAGCTGGGTTACTAATACTAGGGCTAGTTATTATACACATGCTATGCGATGTATCTTAATCAGTGTACGTTTGATGCCGCTATATTAGCTATGTCACGTCTGATCTTCTATTTGAAAACATATCCATGCCTGAATTCTCCTTTGTAGTACTAATTTCTCAACTGCGGCCGAATAATAAAATTTACTAGATTAGGCTCACTGGAAGGGATTAGGCTTAACCTAGATAGGTACCTGTATGGGGGCTTAGGGTGCGTAGTGCGAAGAACATACATATCTCTGGTTACTGCAGCATGGGTTCGGTTCTTCGTCCGGATCTTCATTTGGTTACATGATGTGGCTAGGTTTGGTTAAGCACATATACATCGCAATGTCCTGTTGCATATACCGAGACCCCTTTGTCTTTTCCTTTCCCTGAACGCCGATGGGCAAATATCTTGTTAAATCCTCAGCCAAACAGTTTATGCGCCTGTAGCTTCGCGGTAGAAAGTTAGGCTCCTATTTGCACCAGCCGTGCAAAACATCTCGTTTCGTCCTGTCTTGGGCAACCACTTGACAGCCCAGAGCGCCTTGTCTGTCTCGCTGTGAGTTGCGACACAGGCACCTTTGTCGATAGACCAAACTTTTACTTTGCCGTCGAAAGCACCACTGAGTAAGTACTCGCCCGTGTCATTCCAGTCGATAGAGGTGATCCAAGCCGTATGGCCCTTTAGGTTGCCTACATGCTCGCCATGCTTTGTATCATAAGTGGCGATGATACCTGCGTCACCGGCAGCAGCTAGACGTGTGCTAGCTGGCGAGAAGGCTACTGTTCTGATTGGCTTGACCAGACCTATCCACCAATTAGTCCACAAAAAATGGATATGGAAAGATGTGCACAGGGATGGTTGAGAAGCAAAACTTACCTGGAAGTGAGTATTGTAGTCGGCCCGTGTTGTTGTTAAATACGTAGACGGCACCACTTTGGTGACCGCTTGCTGTGTATTTCCCATCGCGACTCAGGTCTACACAAAGCCCAAAAGAGCCAGAGCCTGGATTACCAGTCTCGTACTCGCGCAATTTCTCGGACCTGTCTCCAAGAAGGTCCCATACATTGACTCGTCCATCGTAGGTAGTAGAAGCCAGGTACTGGCCGTCTTCACTAAGGGCAATGGCCCATACCTCCCCAGCACTCTTTCCTGAGCCTTTCGTAGGATCTAGCTCTCCAAAGGGTTGCCACTCGGTTGTACCTGATTCGGCCAACTTCCATATTTTTACTTCTCCACCAAAACCAGCCGATGCTGCGACCTTACCATTGCGGGAGACGGCAATATGGTGGCAGCCGAGCTTATGCGCGCCGGCTAGAGACTGGACAAGAGGGATGGAGGGTTGTGAAGTGGCATGTATATGTAAAGTTGAAGAACCGCTGGCGGAAAGGAGTGCTGTGGGCGTGGCTGCAAGAGAGAAGATGTCGGTTATGTGTGCTAGTTGATATTAGCATAAGCTTAGCTGAAGCTTCAGAGCTTGAAGCTTTGTGTCCGAGGTTGGTTTGGGTTTGGGCTTTAGAAAAGAGCAATACTCACCATTGTCGATAGTATGTGTCGTTAGGTATTGCTTCGACTATAAATGCATTAGCAAGCTAACATTGCGGCATACGGCGTCAATTTCTACTTTCTATACCTACCATGGTGTAGCTATCGATCCATGTAGACTTGTCGCGAAGCTGCTGGGTAGAAGGCGTGGTGGGGTTGATGATGGTAGGAATAGGTATAAATTGCTGCAGACGGCATCTGCAAGTTGTCTTAGCTACCTCCTACCTTAGTGGGGTTAACTAAAAATTGGAGACCTACATGTAGGTAGAGGCTTCTTCTTTCTAATAAGTAAACTACATCCCAAATCTCAAATATTATTACATCACACATCCCTTTCTTCATTCCTTCTTTTCGTCGTTACTGCCTTGTCTACCTATTTCATTAGGTCTACTACAGAGCAAGCGTTGTGTATGGGCTACATATAGGTACATGTATTTAAGACATGTACCACCTGGTAGATGTGTACCTAATGTACCTAATGTACCTATTCTATCCCGATGCACGATTGTATAGTTAGACCTAAATTTACAGCAACTTCACTTCACAATTGGCTTCGTAATTACATATAGCAAGTGAACTTGAGCCTGGCAGCGCTACTAGCTATAGACATACACTTAATAGACAGGTAAGATGCAACTTTGTAGAATCGTGGTTTCATTGCACATGTCTTTCACCGTCAATAGGTATTTATTGTAGAATGAATCCCTTACCCTTATACCAGAACGCCAGTGATATGCATGAAACTAGAATTCATAGAAATCATGCCTGATCTGTATTATGCTTTTTGCTTGAAATCCCGCTCAAGCATACCGCCGAGACCTAGCCATACACTAATTAGTATCTATATTGCCAAATCCGTGGAGAGGTACAACTAACGGCCCATGCAATCGGAGCATAAAGTATGCATCTTTTTTACTCCCCCGCAGGCTGGGCACTTGTTCAATGATGTAACATCTTTCAGAGCCTTTCCTGCCATCTGTCGATGTCTCTTCTTCATGTGCGATGTCTTTTTCTTAGGCACTGCCCGAAGTATACCTTCCCATATATCACCCAGCAGAGACGGTATATTTGAGATAGCAGCGGGGATGGCGATAGCGAGCTCGGTCACTGATGGCAGTCTCGACTCCTGCGCATATTGTGTATGTAGAACAGTTGATCGGAAAGAGGACTGGAAGCTTGTCGATGCTATCCTCGGGAAGAGGGAGGGGAAGAATGAGGCTATTCGCAGCTGCTGGAGGGCGGCCATAGTCGATGACTTCAGGTGGACTGGCCGTAGCCTTTCGTAATGTTGTAATATTGTAATATCGAATGGCCCTTCTTTCTTGGTTCCTACGTAGGAAAATTGCGGTGCGCAAAAGAAAGAATGGCAATTATTGCGCACGCCAATGAGAATTATATAGTATGTACAGCTACCTAACGTAGGTTGAATGTATTGATAGAAAGAGCTTGCCGTTCGTCTAAAAAGTTTCTAGCGCAAAAATGGAGATTGATTGGTCGAGAGTTCCGGGCATCTGCCCATCAGCCGGCACCAAACAATGCAGGCATGTACGACTTTCAACCCCAGCTCCGATCCACTAATACTTCTACGCACGGATCTTCATTGGCCTATCAGCACCTGCCAGCCCCCTTTCCCCTTTCTTGTGGTTCCTGGCCCATGCCCAACTTCCACCTTCTTACCGGAAATTATTGTTTGGCAAGGAAATCGCAGGGAGCAATCTTGAAAGGATCCATCCCCTTCACGTCGAAAAAATTCCCAAACGCCAACGAACCTCAACCTTCTTTTCCCCATCAATCATCACATCAACTTCAACTCTGTCTCGCATCAGAGCTCACGTCACCACTCCTTGTCATTCGTTCGTTTCTCCAATTGCCACCAGGCTATTTCTTGGAATAGGAGTTGACATTTTATCCCATTCATTGATCCATCAAGTCAGAAGCAATGGCATCGCAAACCATCTACCCTAACAGCCATGTCGGTTTCGACAGCATTACCTCCCAGATCGAGCGTAAGCTCTTGAAGAGAGGTTTCCAGTTCAATGTCATTTGCGTTGGTAAGCTACATATTCCCTTTCAAGTTCCAGCTATCTGATAGCTACCATTTAATCCCCTGCGGCACGTTGCCCTAGTTCGTGTAACTGACGTGTCTCGTGTCATGCAATAGGCCAAACTGGCTTGGGAAAGTCGACTCTGATCAACACCATCTTTGCATCCCACCTTATCGATTCGAAAGGTAGAATGGTACCTGATGAGCAGATTCGCTCCACCACCGAGATCCACCCCGTATCGCACGTTGTCGAGGAGAATGGCGTCCGCCTGAAGCTCAACATTGTCGACACTCCAGGCTATGGTGACCTGGTCAACAACGACCGCTGCTGGGACCCTATCGTCAAGTACATCAAGGATCAGCACTCCGCGTACCTACGAAAGGAGCTCACAGCACAGCGAGAGCGTTACATTACGGATACCCGTATCCACTGCTGCTTGTTCTTCATCCAGCCCTCGGGACATTCTCTAAAGCCAATCGATATCGTAGTATTGAAGAAGCTTTCCGATGTTGTTAACGTTGTGCCGGTTATTGCCAAGGCCGACACTTTGACCCTAGAAGAGAGACAAGAGTTCAAAGAGCGAATCAAGGAGGAGTTTCTTTTCCACAACCTCAAGATGTACCCTTACGACAACGATGAGCTTGATGAAGAGGAGCGCTTGATTGACACTCAGATGAAGGTATTTTGCATGTTATGCACCCTGCCTTTCTTATGCTAACGAATTATGCAGAGCCTTGTTCCCTTTGCCGTTGTCGGTTCCGAGAAGTCGATCATTGTTAACGGCAAGCAAGTTCGTGGACGTCAAAACCGATGGGGTGTGATCAATGTTGAAGATGAGAACCACTGCGAATTCGTCTACCTGAGGAACTTCCTACTCCGAACTCATTTACAGGATCTCATCGAGACTACTTCGCAGATTCACTACGAGACCTTCCGTGCCAAGCAATTGTTGGCGCTCAAGGAGAGCAGCGCACAAGGCCACGGCAGCAGACCGATTAGCCCTGCCGCAGATCGCGAAATGAGCAGGAGCTCTCAACGGATGACTATGAACGGTTACTAAGTCATCATCTGATTTTCTTTGTATGCTTTCTACGAGGCGTTCCTCGGATTCAGGCTTTCCCATCCTTGCGAAAGATCTTTAATTACCCTTTACGACTATTACTATGAGCGGCTCCGATGACTACTAGGATGCAACATGGGAGAGGGCGACTCATTTCAAGAATTACCCCGAGGGTCCCAAAAATTTCCTTAGGATGGGATACCCAAAACTGTGTCCGCGTAGGAAAACATTTGAGGTTACGTGAGGAGGCGTATTTGAAGCTAAGGTCAGATGTGTTGACCTGTCTGGGTTGTTCGAGCTTGTTATGTGTTTGTCGGCCAAGCAAGCAGTATTTCCATCTACAGTCTGGCGACGCGACGTTCTTATTATTTCCTTTTTAGTATTCCCCCAAAGCTCTGTTCATCTTCTCTAAAGCTGCTAAGATTAATCCGTGGTCAAGCCTCTACTGTACTCTAATAGAGCCCGCTCTGATACCTGATGGAATAAATACGAGACTTATGCCCCAAACACCTCTGCTTTGAATTTGTGATTTATCGGGATCCCGTCCTATCCTTTTGGTTGGTTTATGTTCCCCGGGATTATGGTCCTATATACCATTCCATTCTAATGTGCAACAAACATTATTCCCACTTTACGATCTACGCTAATGGCTTGTAGATGAAGTCTTCTAACTTCTTGATTGCCTTCTCGACGTCGTCGTTAACAATGATAATGTCGTGAACACCAGGTGTATCGGCGTATTCGAGCTCGAGCTTGGCCTGATTTAGCCTATTAACGATGGAGTCCTCGTCCTCGGTACCTCGATGTCGCAGGCGCCTTTCGAGCTCCTCGAAGCTAGGCGGCTTAATGAAGACATAGCGCGCTTCTATGCCGCTCTTCTTAATCTGCTTGACGCCCTGTTTTTATCTCCCTTTAGCGATATCCTTTTTGACAATGATCCGTAGGCTCGAGGAACTCACCTCCATCTCAATATCAAGTACGACGACACGACCCTTGGCGGTCTGGTCGGCAATGGTTTGCTTAGAGGTACCGTAGCGGTTGGAGCCAAACTTGGCGTGCTCAACAAAGCCATCGGCCTGGACAAGGGCTTCGAATTCCTCGGCTGACACATAATAATAATCAACACCATGGGCCTCTCCAGCGCGCGGCTTGCGCGTCGTATGCGATACAGATAGAGCGAAACAGTCCTTGTGCGCGTCGAACAGGCGCTTAAAGAGTGTGCCCTTGCCCACACCCGAAGGGCCGGAGATCACGACGGGACGGCGGTCTTGAGGTAGCGCTGTTGCGGGGGCGAAAGGGATTTAGTTAGCGAGGCTTTTTGCCTAAGTTCGGCTCGAAATCGTTCAAGTGGGATTCCGAGACGACTGCGACCCCGACGAGCGAGGAGAGAAATAGAAACACATACTGGAAGCCATCTTATCTGCGCTGCGGGGGTTGTGGATGACGAATTGGGCTACCGACGATGCGCAGAAACGAGAGGCGGGGGAAAAGAATATTGGATTATTAAATGCACTGGATCTACGCAGAGATGACACAGTTCGATAGTACATGTGAAGCTGCTCGGGTCAGCTAGCAAAGGTACCTAATGTTCGGTCAATTGATAATGGACCGCCACTTTTTTTTTTGTTCCTTGAAGTCACACTAAGAAGTCACACTGCAGAAATCGGCCGGCGCAGTCCGAAGGCAGAAGCAGTGAAACCGGCAGAATCTCAAGGGCTCAGGCTTAGGTTAGGTTGTTGTTACCTTAACTTTAGGGTCCGACCGAAAAAAATATTTGAGGCTGGTGTTGTAGATTTTTGTGGCTGGTGGGTGGGGCTAGTGCTTGCAGTTGGTTTGAAGGTTCCATTCGCGTTCCATTCGCATTAAACCTCATCCCATCTGTCATTTGGCGCCGTCTTGAAGCTAAGCTCTATTCAACCTTATTGTTGCACCACAGGAAAATAGTGGCTAGCCCCTGAGACAGGGATGCCCTTAAAAAGCGCCATTACGCCCCGGAATTCTTCTACATACATACATAGTAGTATTGTCTTCTTACAAGGTGAATGGATCTTCAGGGGAATGTTAAATGTTCGAATTGCGATTTTCACTAGTACCCACGCGCACAGAAAACGGTCCATGTTTCATCATTTCTTCCACCCTACACTTGTACAACAGCCGTGACGTCGTTGTAGAACATTCCGAAACTAAGGCATCGATGGGTTAATATGTAAAAGAGACAGAAGAAGCAGAAGATGGGTTAAGAATCAGCCACACGACAGCCTAACCCCATCTCTCAAACTGGTGCAGAAAGAAATTTTGGCATCTGTTAATAGAATACTAACGAGTTCAGGATGCTACCATAGCCTGAAGGAAAGTTCGTACATATGACAAGAAGCTAAGCATATAATAGCCTATGTAGTAGAAGACCTTGGCCAATCCATCACGAAGCAACATCGTATTATTAGCCTCGTATTAAACTTTGATAGAGAATAGGCTAGAATACCAAGCCATGAGAAAAGTTCCCTGAGGAGCAACTAGTTCACAGACATAGTTGCCCTGGATTAAATCTGATAATTAAATCTGATAACTATTACCTAGGTTAGGTAGTTAATACAGATATACGGCATACCATTATTACAAAATGTCAGTGCTGATGGAATACATAGCAGCACATACCTGGGTAGCGTATGACAGATAATACATGTAATAAAACGGTTGACCCATTAGAAGAAAGGTCGGTGAAACTATGAAATTGGTAGAGGGTCAATCTTGAACAAGGCAGGCATACGGAATACGGAATATATGGTTGCATAATACAGTACGGTCCGATGGTGTCATCATGCTGAACACGGTACATAGGTAGTTACCTAAAAGCACTCTAAAGCACCAGACTCTAAATACATAAGTGAGTGATTACAGTGCGAATAGAAAAGAAATAATGCATACCCTAACTTGTGGAAATTGAACTAGAAACTGCCAGATGAACCAATCTTGCTTGGGCTATACTCCTGCCCCACTTTATGGAGCTTTCCTTGTTTGGATGGATCTCTACCCAATCAACCAGTCACAACCTCCCGACAAGCTGTTAATTGTTACAGTAGAGGCGCCCAAGAAAGCCCAAGACGCCCTAGTCAGCTAGTAAAACCCCTCGCAAAATCGAGTTGACACAGGTGGGCAGTCACTGATTGGCATCGTGTAGATGGATGTACATTACCATCAATAGATACATACATACCTACCTAGTACACTCATTACGTGTATGTGTGTAGGTATGTGTGTACCTATGTAACTAACATGCACCTGCAAACCTGAACCCGAACCTGCCAATTATCTATCTACCTTCTCCCTGCTT